ATCCAGTTGATACGGCTAGTTTTCAAGTATTATATGATTGTATTGTTTATAATACGGATAAATATTATCAAAGTATTGATACTGAAGATAATATTCAAATGAAAAAATCTCTTCGTTTTCAACAATATCGTCAACAATTTGAACAAAAACATGATATTTTATCAATAATAATGAATCCATTGATAAATTTATTCATTTCGATTCGTGTTTGGTTAGATACATGGTTAGAATTAGATCAAGTTGATCAAGAATTATTTTAAAAACAAAATCATATGCGTATGTTTTTATATGCAACCATAAAAGGACGTTCACGTTGTTTATTATTGGTTATGATTGCTGATTTATTTATCTATAGTTTTCATATTTTCGTTGGTAAGTGTTGTAGTTGTTTCTATTTGATTATTTTTTGTTTTTGTTTTGTTTTGTTTTTGTCATTAATTTCCAAAACAGCAATTGTCTCTATATTTTGTATGATAATAATATTACCTATATTTTTTCAATTTACAATGGTACGTGAATCATGGCTAATGAAATTAACATTAACAATAGAAATATCAATATTCATACATAATACACTTGTATTATTTCAATGTGCAATGTTATTAAGTTTTACAATGCTGATATCATATCAAGCATTTCATAGTGAATTATCTGAATTGAATCGTTGTTTTTTAGAAATTACTGAAAATTCTCGACAATGTAAAAAACAAATTAGTATAAAAGAAATATCTAAACTTAAATTTATTTATAAACGACATAATATTTTGTCATATTATTTGATTTATCCGGATAAAGATGCATGGAGTCAAGCACTATATTATTATGCATTATTATCCATACCAATCAATGTATCATTATTATGTGTTTTAATTATTGAACAATTAACACCACAAATACGAATGATTTTAATATTAATTACATCTATACAAACATTTACCGGTCTCATACCATTTCTAAATACAGCAAATACATCAAAAAAATTTCATCAAATTAAAGATTATATTCTACCGATACAATTTCAAATGAAACGTCGTCAACATTTACGTTTAAAATTAAAATATGATGATCTTTATGGACGATTAATGCATG